TGTCCAAAGGAAGATTTAAAACATTGAGAAGATACCTTGGTGTTTCCATCAAAAGTCTCAAGGAGGAGTATTGACATTTAGCATTGATACATTATTCCTATATTCTTGATGTACTAAGTCTTAGCATAAGTTATATATTATAAGTTAAGCAAGTATGGTCTTACAGGGAAATGAGTAGGCTGTCATATAAGCAAAGCGGTAGTAGGTAAGAATAGTTGTTGGATAAAAAACGTTTGTGATGTAATAGAATGATGGATATATATGTTCCAGTTGTGTCTTGCACCACTCTTTGAATGAAAATGTGATTTTTTTTCTTTCCCTTTGAGTTCATATTGCAACATAAACTCACTGCCCAGAAATTCAGTTCCAGCTTCTTGGTTTTCACTTCCTGTTTGGTTCTTTGCTTTCTCTTTTGCTTGGAATCAACTAGGGATGAGTTGAAGGAGTTAATCTCTTATTTAGGATGTAGATATAAGGTTTTTAAGGGGCGTGATTCGTGAGTTTTGTTTAGGAGTGAAGAAAGTTGCAATTAAAAAGACAAGTAGCTCAACCATGTGGTGTCTCCTTGTAGTAAAATCTGATTTTACACTCATCCTTGTAGTAGAAAATCATGTGTCTTTGATCCATCTTAGTGTGTCTACAACCTAATTTAATTTCCGTAAGATCGTAAAATAATTTATAAAGTTAATTCCTTAACTATTCATTCAATTCCTTCCCAAATTGGAGCTCGATCCTCGACCGACTTCAACAATTTGCACTTCATTATTTATAGCTTCCCGTGAACTAATTATTATTACATTGTGATCATGTCACTTCATGCCACATGTCTCAAATATGTTAAAGACTTAATTATGGTTTAGGGTAACCATGATCAACCGATAATGATTTCGACACTTTCAAGATTACAATTATTTAACAAATCAATATCCAACATCTCGAATAACCCAAATTTCCACCATAGCTCAATGTAAGATTCACCACCTAGGTCGGGGTCGAAGACTAATACGATATAAAGATATTAGAATCTTAGTGATCAAATACACCATTATTAGAGAAAAGAATTACGAACTATTGATACAAATGTAACTCGCAATGTAAATAGCATGTAATGCATGAATTATATTGGCCAAGCGTGTAAAGTGATGTTTGAGATATTACAGGTATAACTGCAAACTTTTAACATTTCTCGCTTTTCTTAATGAAATCCTTGGCATCTTTTCTGATGGTTCGTCAATAATAGCCCTACTTTAGTACCTATTGTGACAAAAGATGTAAGCTAGCATGATTTCCACAAATACCCTCGTGATTCCATGAGTACATACAATGCTTAATCATTAACAATGCATAGAATCAAAGGGACTGTGTACCCGATTGAATAGAACCCCATCTTGTACTACATATCTAGCAGCCTTTACATGTATCCTTCTTGTTTCTTCTTTATTTTCAGGGAGTGTCGCGTCCCCTAGATAGGATGCTATCTCTTGTTTCGATGTTCCATTCCCCTGAACCCCCAACCCATAGATTTCCTAATAGCCCTACTAGTTCGTCTAAAAATGATTGCTGAAAGTAGCACAGGTTCGCATAGGTTCGTTAACTATGATGGTCAAAATTCCCATAACTAACTTTGACTTCTACACAATTTCTAATATTAAGTCGATTAAGTCCTTGTAAAATTTTTCAATAACAAGGACATTGCACTATATTAACCACGTTCGTTTAGGATTTCACACCTGTATCGAGAAGGTATAGACTCACTGTCCAAGCATACTGTCAACTTATTGACTCATACGTTGTGGAATTATGCCCTATTTTTTGTTCTAGTTTGGCATCTTTGGATATTTCGGGGTGCCTAAACTATTGGTTTTGTTAGCTTTCAAGTGTTCTTCCCTTAGTTTGGCTTGTACACTCTATTATGACTCATATTTTCATTTATTTTAACAAATGGTTGGGAGCATATGATGGTTGCACCAATGACTTGAATTAAAACATCATATCAATTCTATACATTCAATTTAATGAAAACAGAGATTGTTGCATCAATAAAAGTAAATCTCTGAAAACGAAGAATCTATTTCCTCAAATTTCATGTAACGTCAATGAAGTGTACTGCCAAACAAATGGAATGTGTTTGATTCATGTGTTTGGCAGACGCCTCATTGACGATACTTGGAAGAATTTGAGGAAATGTCGAAATAGATTCTTTACTTTTCAGATGCGTGATTAAAAAAAAAAGTATAGACACAACAAGTTATTTGTGTACAATTTTAACTCTGGATAAGCTCGGCTCGGCCACAAGCTACGAGCTCAAGGGCCAAGCCGAGCTTGCTATGGTCTGCTCGGCTCCGCTTGGCTCAACTCGACTCGTCTCTTCGACAAGCCAATCTCATGAGTAATGGGGCCGAGCCAAGTCATTGCCACCTCTACCAAAGACCCATAACACAACGAGATGATGATCCATCAGTTGATGTCACATTTCATTTTTGAAATTACTAACAACAACTCAAGGCATACGAGACTTGGAAATAGACTACTCTTTATTTTGAACAACAAAACTAGAATACTACTTGACATCAGGATAAATGCCCTGGAAGGAATAATCATCTTGTAAAGTCCATCCTTAAGTTTCCTGTGGAGTAGAACCTCCAACATTTTCTTGTCAAGAATCAAAGTCAGATTTGACAACTCATTATTATCTGTTGGTCACTTAGACAAACTCAAAAGATTTAGTCATCCGAGGAACGTGGATGATTTCTCTAAGGTGCAATGGAGTTTTTGATGTATATAATTTTGAATAACTAATATGGGAAATATGTAAATGACTACCATTGCCAACAATAAGTTTCTGCTTACCATGAAGGATCTACATAGGCAACTGTTGAGTTTTTTCCAGTGTTTCTTTGATTATTATAAACATGATTAATTGTGTAATAACGTACCATAGCTATATTACCAATCTTATGACCAAACAGCAGGTCGACAACCACCTCCTCTACTTTTCCATTTAAATAATAGCTATTTAAATCAAGTCTGCATTTACGTAGGAGCCATGTTGTTAGTTAATGCAGATCTTCTCTTCTTGTTAGACTATCTTTTAGTTTGAATTTGCTAACCACAAGTCTTCTTGATCACTCAAAGTCTCTCCATTGATTTGTTAATTATTGTGTGGATTTTCCATAATTTTTCGGTGTCCTTATCACTCATTTGATCCTCATCTTTTCTGTTGTCAAGTTGACAGACATTGCTAACAACATTGTTGTATTCATGGTATTAACCTACGAGCATAATCATAATAAAAGCTGATACAGCAGACCAGCTACTTCCATTTGATCAACTAAGTTTTTTCTCATTTTTGTGAGAAATTCGTAGATAGTCATTGAACCTTTGTGTAACGATCAGACGTCTATGCCCAAATCGTTAACTTACGTACAATTCTCTATAAGAGAACCTAGCACATGTTATCCCTTATGACTTTGTGTCACCAGGATTCTACTTAAGTTTCTTTTAAGGGGAGGTCATGAATTCGAATTTTGAAAATACGACAGAAATCCATAAAAGATAAAATGAGCTCAACTCTCCCATGATGGATAGAACAAAAATTAACGGTTTGAGAATAGAAATCGGGTTCAGAAAAGCTTTCTATCTCGTCCCCAAATTCAAATCCATGACGTTTCCTTTAAGAGATATTTAAGTTGAATCTCGTTACTAATTGAACAAGTTGCTCTATTCCAAGTTTTGAATTTGGAAGTCCTAAAGATGAAACTTCTCCTTATGGTTTGAATTTTTTTCCCATTATCAAATATTGACATGTGACTATTTTAAGCCATTGTTAAGGAATTATTAATGAAACATAAAGAAGCATATATAATCATTGAGAAAATAAAGATATTTAAGAATGATGCACAAATTGATATTTGAATTTTTAAAGTTAATGTTGAAGTGGCCAATAATGGAGAATAAGGACAAAGGGATAAGTGATGGTGCTATAAAATAGATTATTTATAAATTTAAGATATCAGCAGACATTATGATAGAGATATTTATATGTCAAAAATTGACCTTAAGCGGAATGTAAAAAAAATTCATCTACAATTCCATTCGTACGTGCCATCTAGTATTGGCCACGTTAACAACTTGAGATCCCTTCATGTGTGAGCTTGTCTTTTAAAAAATTAAAAGGAGATTTTGAGATTCAAAATTTATGTTTGGAGTTGATTGATTAATTTTATGAAAGTGATTCAGTTAAAAGAATTTTTTAGAGGAAATTGGTCCAACGTGACTTTTTCTAAAAGCACTTCTGAAATAAGAATCTCTTGTAAAAATTAATTTTCAAATAAAAATTAAGATAATCTCAACTGAAAGCTTTTCTACAAAAAGTAAAAACAAAAGAAAAAATCATGCTAAACAAACTATTTTATGCCCTTTTGACCACCGTTACCTAAAAAGCTTTTTTACAAAAAGTAAAAACAAAAGAAGAAATCATGCTAAACAAAAGTCGTATTGTCAGCATTTGGTATCTTTTTTTTTATTCAATATAAAAATCCTTAAAAATAGTGAAAGGTAGATTTTTTTTAATTTGAAATAAATTTTAAAGGATGTCTCTATAATTTTTAAATTAAATATTGTAATTCTATATTTATCATATTATTTTAGGGGAGGTATTTTTAATATGAATAATAACAATTATTTACATCTTAATATACATTGTGCGGAACTTCAAAAAGCATTGAACATGAAAGTATGTTTTTTTCAAAAAGAAATTGTCCAATAATGTGTGGTGGTCAAAAATGATGTAAAAAATTGCCCTTGTTCTTGTTGTAATACCAGGTCCCCAACCCACCCCACCCCACCTAACCTTTCCATCTTGAAGTACTTATTTCTCTTTCCAGCCCTCTCTCCGTATTCTGGTCCTCATCTTTTCCATATCATACTCCCAATCTAGAAAAACAAGCCATTTCATAGGAGTGCTAACTAGTTGTTTTTTCCTTCTTCAAATAACGAAAATGATAAGTTGGCACGATCTTTATGTCGTCTTAACTGCTGTAATTCCTCTCTATGTAGCCATGATCTTGGCCTATGGCTCCGTCAGGTGGTGGAAAATATTCACCCCGGACCAGTGCTCCGGCATCAACAGATTTGTCGCCATTTTCGCGGTGCCTCTCCTTTCTTTCCACTTCATTTCGACCAATGATCCTTATGCCATGAACTTCCGTTTCATTGCTGCAGATACACTTCAGAAACTTATAATGCTTGTGGTCCTTGGCTTGTGGGCTAACTTAACCAAAAATGGCAGTCTTGAATGGTCTATAACAGTTTTTTCACTTTCCACACTGCCTAACACTCTTGTGATGGGCATTCCTTTGTTGATTGCTATGTACGGTGAGTACTCGGGTAGTCTTATGGTACAAATAGTGGTTCTACAGTGCATCATTTGGTACACACTTTTGCTCTTCTTGTTCGAGTATCGCGGTGCCAAGATGCTCATTATGGAGCAGTTCCCCGAGACTGCAGCCTCAATTGTGTCGTTTAAGGTCGAGTCGGACGTTGTTTCTTTAGATGGACAAGATTTTCTTGAAACAGATGCTGAGTTAGGTAACGATGGCAAGCTTCATGTAACTGTGAGGAAATCAAATGCATCAAGGAGGTCACTTGGACATGGTTCATTCTCAGGATTGACCCCTCGGCCGTCAAATCTTACAGGAGCTGAAATTTACAGTTTGAGTTCGACTCCAAGGGGATCTAATTTTAATCATTCCGATTTTTACTCAATGATGGGATTTCCAGGCAGGCTATCGAATTTTGGTCAGTCCGATACAGGTAGATTTTCCAACGTTAATGTAGCAGATATGTACTCAGTTCAATCATCTAGAGGTCCAACCCCGAGGCCATCAAATTTCGAGGAAAACTGTGCACCTGGATCTCTCACGAGCCCATCATTGCCAGTCACTTCTTATCCAGCTCCGAATCTTGATATTACTTCAGCTGTTCCAAAAAGTGCAAAAAACTATCAGCAGCAACTGCAGTCGCAGCCTCAGCCACGGCCCCAGAAACCGGGCAATAAGGCAAATCCTGATTCTAAGGAGCTTCACATGTTCGTGTGGAGCTCGAGTACATCACCGGCGTCGGAAGGAGGTGGGCATCACGTGCTTGGTGGACCCGATTACTGTGCTTCCGAGCAATCCAAGGAAATCAACTTGTTGGTTTCCGATAACGCTGAAAATGGGGAAACTAACGGTAAGTTTCATTCCATTTATTATGAACTGATAGATTTTAATATTGTATAGCATAGCGTTTTATTTCATTTTTCTAAATGAAGGGATTCCCCAAACTGGTGGAGACCATGCAGATGAGGAGAGAGAGAAAGATGGTCCCACAGAGCTGGGCACCAATCCAACGGCCGAGCTACAACCAAGTGTTGTGCAAGGTCAACATCCCAGCGCCGGAAAACATATGCCACCAGCTAGTGTCATGACTCGACTAATTTTGATCATGGTGTGGCGAAAACTTATCCGAAATCCTAACACGTATTCGAGTCTCATTGGTTTAATATGGTCGCTAGTCTCGTTTAGGTAAAGCTAAAATTAAAAATGTTGAAATTACTAGACATTTGATTTTGATTGATTGACTGACTGACTAATTTCAGGTGGGATGTGCATATGCCTAAAATTATAGAAAAGTCAATCTCCATACTCTCCGATGCTGGCCTTGGAATGGCTATGTTTAGCTTAGGTGAGTAATTCTGAGTTCATGGTCTGCTTAATTTGACCGTCCATTCATGGTATAAAAATAATATTATTTTATGTAATTAAAACTATATGAATAAATTGACAAGCCGACAGATGGGGCCAAGGGGAAAAATGTCTTGTTCTGGTACCAAAATTTGGGATAATGAGTGGCTTAAAGTTAGTTGGAGTTTAATTGACATGCTCTTTGTTAGAATTATATGTATCTGATCGTGATTATTCTTTTATTTTTTTGTCTATTAAGTACTTGAAGGATATATGTGTGTGTGTGTGTGTGTTTTTTAAGAAATAAGAATCATGCATAATTATTGATATAATGTCACGTGATATTTCATCATTGAACTGTTTTAAATATGAGAGATTTTTCATCAAATCATCTGCTGTCACCTCGAATTATATCACTGCATCTATTAAATTTCCTTTGACAATGTTGCAAAATCCATACGTTAATTTCATGTGAAATGACAGGCTTGTTTATGGCACTTCAACCGAAGATAATAGCCTGTGGGAACACGGTAGCTGCTTTCTCCATGGCAGTGAGGTTCCTTACTGGCCCAGCAGTAATGGCTGCAGCTTCCATTGCTGTTGGTCTTCGTGGTACTCTACTCCATGTCGCGATCGTGCAGGTAACTCATCGTTTTAACTCTGCTGTCGTCTTGTCTATGATATAAACTTTTCACGTCTCGCATAAAAAACTGTTATCATCAGCTTCTTCCAATTTGTTATCAAGAGTTGATGTGCCAAACTTTCAAATATTATAAATTGTTTCTATTAATTTTTTTGCAAAATTCTTAGTGTGGTTAGTAAACTTCATTTAGTTTCAAGTTAGTTGCTCGAAGTTAGACCCAATTTGACAACCATACTTTTTGGTTTTGAATTGTGACTTTTAGGAGAATGTGTGGTAAATATTTTATTGTGTGGTTGAAAATAAATATGGTAATAAATGTTCTGAGTACTATATATTTCTCTTCATACTTTTGAGTTCTCTGATATATTTCTCATTAAATTCTAGGCCGCACTTCCACAGGGGATTGTTCCATTTGTGTTTGCTAAAGAGTACAATGTTCACCCAGCTATTCTTAGCACTGCGTAAGTAACTAATTTCGTCTAGAATTAACTATTTAATATTTTCATATATTGATCCATTCATTCTTCTTTGGTTTTATTATAACAGGGTTATATTTGGAATGTTGATTGCATTGCCAATCACACTCGTCTATTACATACTTCTTGGATTATAAGATTATTGGGAAAAAACGAATCAACAAAAATACTGCTCACTAACAATCAATTGTGACGCTCCATTGAAATATATGGCCAAGATATTTCACCTTATACAAGATTGGATCATGCTCCAATTCGAGGAGAAAAGATATTCATCGAGTAATACGATGAGGATTATCACAGTTGACGCTGAGCCGGAATAAATGAAAGTAGTAAAAGCGATTATCAAATTTAATTTCTTCGTATTTTAATTCTAATTGTAGCTTATTCTTTACTCGAAAAAAGGCGTTTACTTTTTCCTCGAGAGGATTAGTAGTGATTGCTGTTTTTGTTCTCTTCGTCATTTACCTTACAATGTAATTACTTTAAGATGATTAATAATTGAAAGATTTCGTTATAACAATCATTCTACAGTGTCAGGTAGACAAAAAGGTAGATATAATGCTATATCATTGAAGTGTTTAAAACACGGTTAGTTTAGCCATACAATCATCTGTTGTCACATACACTGCTGCCACCGTATCTATCAAAATCCTTGTGACAACGTGATATAATCTTTCGTTATAATATTTATATTGTTTACTAAGTTAAACGAAAATGTCTAATTTTTATTTTTTTAAGTAGGAGATAATTATCCACTCAAAATTTTCACTTGAAGGTTAGAAAAAAAAGGAGAGAGGGAGAGAGAGTGGAAGTGATTAAGGGATATTTGAAAGCAAATAATCTTTCCGCTTAGGCCTTAGTGGATGATGTACTTTTTTGGTACAAAGCACATTAGGCTCTTTCTTGAAAGTGATAAGAGATTATTTTAGTAAAAAGAGAGCTGCAAGTCAAAAGGTATTTTGGTTTTGCGTTTTGAGTTTGTAAGCTATGGCCGTTGTTTTTGTTCCTCACCTAGACCCATCAGAGATTTGAATTCTTTGACCATGACCTGGGGGCGGATTTAGTGTGAGTGCAGTGGCATCAGCTGCTCCCACACTAAATTTATCATTTGAAATTTTGCTTGGTAGTTTTTCAAAATTTTCAAAAAAATCCTTGTAATTTTCAATTTCCTCCCTCATGATTAATTTATTTTTTTGTAATTTGCCTTTACGAATCTTTTCTTCTAACTCTGTCCCTGACCTTGACTTATAAATTAGAGTACATACGGGAGGTGGACGTTTATGCTGTCACTCTTGACAAGGTGGGTAAATTAGATTTTAATTAATTTGAATTTGATTACATAAATCATAAATTCTTTATTGTGTGCTTGGAAGCGTTATCCAATCTATTCGGATTCTTTACCTTGTCAAATTAAATGTTCATAATTCAATGAAAAATATTAAGATGAGAAGACAACTATGTTTCTTTAGTTTGTACATGTTTTGGTTTTGTTAGTATTTCATGCCAAATAATAGGAATTCAATTTTTAGAAATTTTGATATCTTTTTATCTAATAATTTTATATAGAAATTTGATCATTTTGTTCTTCTGTGAATCTCAGTGACGGTTAAATCTTCATGTAAAAGGGACAACTTTCACGTAGTTTGTGATTGGATGTAACTGTTAAGATTCTCTCTCGAATAAATCTTTCTCTTAATAGATCTCTTCTTGTTTCTCAATCTTTGGAGAATGCGGCGTTGTATTATTGTAAGTTCTTAAAAAATCCTTGTAATTTTCAATTTCCTCCCTCATGATTAATTTATTTTTTTGTAATTTGCCTTTACGAATCTTTTCTTCTAACTCTGTCCCTGACCTTGACTTATAAATTAGAGTACATACGGGAGGTGGACGTTTATGCTGTCACTCTTGACAAGGTGGGTAAATTAGATTTTAATTAATTTGAATTTGATTACATAAATCATAAATTCTTTATTGTGTGCTTGGAAGCGTTATCCAATCTATTCGGATTCTTTACCTTGTCAAATTAAATGTTCATAATTCAATGAAAAATATTAAGATGAGAAGACAACTATGTTTCTTTAGTTTGTACATGTTTTGGTTTTGTTAGTATTTCATGCCAAATAATAGGAATTCAATTTTTAGAAATTTTGATATCTTTTTATCTAATAATTTTATATAGAAATTTGATCATTTTGTTCTTCTGTGAATCTCAGTGACGGTTAAATCTTCATGTAAAAGGGACAACTTTCACGTAGTTTGTGATTGGATGTAACTGTTATGATTTTCTCTTGAACAAATCTTTCTCTTAATAGATCTCTTGGTTCTAAGAATGTTTCATATAAATTTTTACCATTGTCACAAAAATGTTTTGATGTCTTGTTTGGAAAGGTCTGTGCATAAATAATGAATTATGTATGTCTTATGTCTTCTGGATGAATCAACTGTATGCTTTAAAAGATGATTCAAGCATCAAAAAGGTTTAATAAATGAGTTTCAATTCTTAGATTGGGGCTACTAAAAGAATCGAGATTGCATTAAGGAAAGAAATGGACTTTTAGAATTTGGGGTATGATAAAGTTTTACAAAATCTCCTTCACATGATGAAAAGTAGTATATACAAATGTATGAAGAGAAGGAATATGACTACTGTTGGGTTTATTAATTTGTCATGTGGACCTACATATGTAATTAATTGTATATAAAGTTATCTTAAATTTAAGCCCAATTAAAGTAACATAATAAAGAATTAAATTGTTGAGTTTAAGGCATTTAAATAAAGTATGGACCGAATTATATATATAGAGACCGGATCTAATAGGATTGTATTTGACGATGAGCCAAATACATATGAAAACTATAAATATAGTTATGGTCCTCAATTCATATGCAACTTCTCATTTTGTGTGCCTTCCCAACAACACAAGAATACAAGAGAATGCATATTGAAGAGGAAGATCCAAAACCCACAATAAAAAAGAAGGATTGGAGCAACTAAATTGAAGAACAAGACAATCAAGATTATGGATAAGGATGGCAAAAAAATTCGACAAACCCGATACCCGCGGTGCAAGTCCGAAAGGGGCGGGATAACCCGCTTAATCGGGTAACGAGGGGGGATTTTGCCTCGAGGCGGGGACGGGTAACGCCCCGCCCCGTTCCGTTAAATTTTTTTTAAATTTTTTATTTTTAGAATTCAATATTTTAAATGAAAATTTTCATTAATTTTAATAGAAAATAGTCAATAAAATTATTTTTCTAAATCTAATGAATATGAGCAATATAAATAAATTATTACAAAAAATTAAAAAAGGAATAAACGAGGAAATGACCCCTCCCCTCCCCTCCCCTCCCCATCGTCAACGGGTAACGGAGCGGAGAATTTCTTAGCAGGGCGGGGGACAGGGACGGGGAGGGCTCCCCCAGTCCTGCCCCGTTCCGTTGCCATCCCTAATTATGGAGCAAGAAGTCAATATCAAGATTAAGCACTCAAAAACCAAAAGTGTCAATAATCAAGATTCAAGATTTGGTATCAAGATCCAGTAATAAAGAATATTCACAAACAATTAAGGTATGTTTTACATTATTAATTTTTTGGTTATTTGACATAGAGGATCTTGACATTAATCAATTAGGTTTTCTAGTTTTACAATGTTTCATAAAGTTTCAACAAGTGGTATCAGAGACGACTCTATGTTAAACCATTAACAATAAAAAAAAAAAGATTTTTGGGGTTGAAATTCATATATTGTGTTTTACAATCTAAGGATGTGAATTTTAGCCCTAAAATTCAAAACCAAGAATTTTTTGGGAATTTAATTTAAAAAGTTTTGGAATTTTTTTTGGAAAACTGGATTTTTTTTTTTTTCCGGATCAAGAAACAAATTTTGTTTGATTGAAGGATGCAAACTTCAAAAGTTTGAATTTTACTCGGTTTTTATATGAGAATCAATTAGAAAGCCTACATATTTGTTTTTTTGGCATTTTGTGAATTAATTGAATCTCATAGAAACGTTTAATGATTGAATTAAAGTCCCTAGATCAAGTTATACTGTATTGGAAATTGATATTACCTGTATATAATTACGGATAAAGTGAGAGAGATTGGGTTTTATAAATAAAAAATTAGATTACAAATTTCTTAAATTAAGGGTAACTTCAATAGTTGATTTTGTGCGGATGAGAGGGGGGAGATGATAGGTGATAATTCGGACTTTAAGGGACAACAATGACTACAGGTTCATTGGGTATTCGATCTTCGAGAAGTTACGGGTCATTGTAACAGCAGCAATTTCGGAGTAGTTTATTATCATCTCTAATCCAAACTACACCTCTACCTCCGGTGCCAAGAAAGTCTGCCAGATGCTTAAAAGGACAATTTTTTTCATTGGAAAAGAGTTTGCTTAGAATGAAGCGTTATCATTTAATTAGCTGCGTGTGGGTTGAACATCTGCATGTACAACGTTTTAGTGCTGTAATGCTTGGTTTTGGCGCTGCAGTGTTGAACTATTGAATTATTATTATAATAAGATATAAAGGGCAATCAATTTCAAATCTTGGTACTTAATATTTTCTTTCAGATTACCAATTTCTAAAATAGATTAGTTGAAGTAACATATTACCAAAGTAACATCTCTTGCCTAAATTAATTTTTTGGAATATTAGAAATGTCGTGTGTACGTAATTCATGCGAATATTGACCAGTCAAAAGAAATATTAATATTTGATCGAATTATTTACATACATGTGGTAATAAATATATGGCAATTGTAAAATTTTATATTATGTGAACATTGAGTTAGTCCAAAGATAGACTTGATGTTTGATTGTATTTATTGTCAATATTTGATTATTACACCAAGAGTGCCACTTACAAATTGATATTTATGTCCAAAGACTAAATATCAATGTCATACTAAGTGTCTTGTGATGGGTTTCACAGTTATTTGAAATTATTGATTGTCCAATACGGATTCCTTCGTTAACATGTTGACCTATGGTTGATTTCGAGTTTTGATTATAACAAGCAAATTATTTCTATCTCTAACATTTACATTCAAGTCTTCATTGATACATGTTGCGAACCTGGTGGAAATCGAGCATTCACAATCAAGTTTGGAAATCGAGCACTCACTTC